GCGTAATAAATAATTCATTTTTTTTCCTTTAACATCAAAAAAATTTTATAACTTTTACAAAACTTCATGTTTTCCTATTCTATACAATTTACAACTTTTTATGTCTTTAGTTCAAGATTTCCTAATATTTTAACTGGTTCTCTAATTGAAAGTAACTCATTACTTAATAATGGTTGCTTGCAATCTTGATGAAAGTAAATTAGATTTTAAGTTATATAAATGTATGCCAGTATTTAATAAATAGTAAATGTAAGCATAAAATTATAAATTATTAAGTATTATAAACTCTTTTCTAGCCCTGTGTATCAAACCCTGTTAAATCTTATAATTTTGCCAGGGTTGGGTTTTCAAAAAGCCTCGTTTTTACCTGGGTTCGGGGCGGGGCCCCCATCACTTAATAATATTTTGTAAAAGTTATTTACATTTTTATAAGATTATTTTACCATAATAAAACTCTGAAAAATTGTCTTTAAATATTTGGAAGTTTCTCCAGACATTTGGCAACTAGAATAAATGAGCACCTTAAAAGTGATGAACAACCTCGTAAATTAAACACTTAAATTTATATTAATTTCAAAAATCTGGCTAACTGTAATTCTTTTAAGATTTTGGATAATGCCCCAACAAAACACAATAGAAGATAAAAAAAATCCCTCCACATTAAATGGAAAAGTCCCTCAATTAATAAACAAACTTCACATTATGCTATATAATTATCGATTTAATTTTACTGTCAGTTTATTATTATTTTTTTTTTTTTTTTTTTTCAGTTAGTATTTATGGATGTTTATTTGCCGAAATATTTTGAAATAAACATATTGGTTTATTATGTAAATTTTTGTTCGTTATTATTTCTCTGTAAAGGTTTCTATTATTTAATGTTAATTTATTTTAGAGTTTAAATATTGTAAAATAATCTTTTAAAAATGTAAATAAATTTTACGAAACATGTCAATAATAAAAAACATCGTGTTATTTTTAAAAATAATTATGTATATATATATATATATATATATATATATATATATATATATATATATATATATATATATATATATATATATATATATATATATATATATATATATATATATATATATATATATATATATATATATATATATATATATATATATATATATATATATAAGGTTGGCGCATTAGGTGTGTGTGTGTAAGGAGGTCTACATTTGCCAACAAACTAGTCAAAAAAGGTCAAATTTGATCTTTTTTGACTAGTTAGTTGTCAAATGTAAACTATTTTGACAAGTTAGCCAGTAAATGTAGACAGTCAGTCGGCAAATATATTATAGCAGTCGGAGGGCAGTCGGCAATTTTCAAAAAACGAGGACCTTTTTTCTTTTTTTATTTGGCAAAATTAACATATTTTTCAACAAAATAAAACATGAAATTTGAACTGCAACAGAATAATCTAAAAAGTTTAAATAGTTTTTTGGCTAAATCATTCCCTTCAAATAACTGGCCCAGTGTATACTCGAAATAGTTCAAGTTCAGTTGCTTTTTATTTTTTAATATGTAATTAAGATCTAGGTTTTCTAAAAGATTTTCTTGAAATGTAACGACGTATCTGGAACAATCCATCAGATAAAGTATTGACTGTAGTTTGAGACAAATTACAACGTTTGGTTGATTTAACCATAAGTTAATGAGTCTTCACATATCCCAAAGTATATTAGATGCAAAAAGTCTAAAGGAAACTTTGTCACTATGTCAAAATTTAACTTAATTTAACACACCACTAAGATGTTTAGAATACTTATGATGACAAAAAATCAAAATCAGCGCTTAAAATGAGTGAAATTTGTTGGAGTATTATCTTGCGGCACCACTCTCCTTTCTGAACACAACGCTCACAATAGTTATAACCATTAATACACTTAACCAAATGTTCTAGCTGGTGTATCACATTTGAAAACAGCAAGATTGATTTCGTAGTTAATATTTTTATAGATAAAACCATCATTGGCATAAACTTTAAAATATACCAAAAAATTATGTAGATAATTTAAAATAGAATTAGATTTTAAATTATCTACATAATTTTTTGTAGATAATTTAAAATAATTTAAAATATAGATAATTTAAAATATAGATAGTTTAAAATATAGGAGTTTATTCAACAAAAATCTAAAATAGTGACAAATCTCTAAAAACCCAATTTGGGTCCCCTAAAATAGTGAGTCCTAGACCTAGGCTCTGATGGCAACATTTTTAAATAGCAACAACTTTTGGCAAAATATATTCAATTTTTTTTTACGTGTGTTAAAATTTTGTCACTATTTTAGATTTTTGTTGAATAAACTCCTATATATTTTTATAGAAATTTTTATAAAGTATTATTTTCTTTTATTACCAGCTATCAAGCTGATTAAACTGACTTGATCAGCTTCAGCTTTAATCTGAAGATAATGAGTTTAAAGCTGAAGCTGAAATATCAGCTGCAACCCCTACTTTATAGACAACATAGTTAATGTGATGTATATACATTATAATAATACTGGTTTTTTTGAATACTTGAGTACTTATTTTTTATTTTATCATACATTTTTTTTTGACGTAAATTTTTTTATAATATTTAATATTTAGACTTTAACCGAGTATTCTTTAGATAAAAATAACATTTTCTTACATTACTCTAATCAAGGTAATAAGCAAAGGTAATATTTACTCCAATCATTATATTTGTCCCCAAAAGTTCACGCAATTCTATCATACATAAGTCTCTCACTAATTCTAGTTATTACCATTATTATTATAATCAGGGCCGGCGCTAGTAGGTGTCACGTGAGGTGGAGGGGGTGTCATTACATTTTGCCGACTAAAAATAAAAAAAAAAAAAAAGGTCCTTGTTTTCCAAAATTTGCCGACTGCCATGACGACATTTGCCTACTGTCTAGATTACCGACTAACCTAGACTAACCTATATTTAAAGGGTCGACATTTGCCGACTAACTAGTCTAAAAGGGTCCAATATGCCGACTAAGGGTCCAATTTACCGACTAAAAATCATTGAAGGAAGGGGGGTATCACACCTCCCCCCCTTCCCCCCCACACACACATACCCTATCGCGCCGGCCTTAATTATAATTATATTTACTAACCTGTCATTATTAATATTTATCAAAAATACATTCTGGTTGTTGAAGTCACTTTTACTCATATCAGAATTCAAATATTGTCAACAATCAGAGTGCATCATGCAAAAATATTCTTAAACATGATGCAAAATACAAGATATACATAAGATATAATCGTATGAGACTTATTACCTGGAACTTAACACTTTTATCCCAACATTTTGAAATTAAGTTATGGAAAATAAAAACAGTGTTTAACTAACAATAACTTAATTATAATAAATAAGCTTAATGTCATAATCAATATAATAACTATTATCTTTTTTTAGTTATTGTTATTTATTAAGGTTAAGGTTTAAATGCAAAAGTTCATACCAATCAAAATTTTATCAGTATTGTAAACATAAGTTTTATATTATAAGTATTTACAAGTATACATATTGTAAGTATAAGTTATTATCATGTATATTATGAAATTATTGTTAATATTAAAAGTGTACAATTTTAAATCAAAGTCAAAAAATATCATTGATTAAAAAATGAGGTTGATGCATAACAATAAAACCATTTTTTTGCATTTAAACACCTAATTATATCTTTATCTATATCTGATAGAAGGTAAACTTTGTTAAAATCAGTCATTTTGCATGAAATATTGCCGTGGAGAGCTGGTACCGGGCCTGGGGTAATATCAAACTGACAGGCCCCCTCAGGGCATAGAGCTTCAGACATGAATAATAATACTTTTGATACAAATAATTTTTTAATTTGACTATATACAGTATTTTATTTACAAGTATATTTTAAATACAATACAGTAAAAAATTATATATAATTTAACTAAAGCAAAATTTAAATATATAAAACCTGTAAGTAAGATTAAAACTTTCCTCGCTTTCCTACTAGCAAAATCAGCAATTACACTGTCAAAATTGATCTTTTTTGCTAAATCATACTTCATCGCTAAAATTTCCAAGCCAGAAACTCTACCTTGCGTCATTGTTGATCTTAGATCATTTTTTATAAGCGCCAGTCTGCTAAAAGACCGTTCAGCTTGTGCGTCTGTAACTGGTAATGTACAAAAAAATTCTCAGGCCAATACCAATACATGTTGGGGAAAAGACATATAAGTTTCAGGTCGTTGATTTTATTTAGAAGAAGAAAGGGGTCCAAATCATTTTTGACGTTAACATCATGGATAAGTTTCAAATGCAAAAGCTCATCAATCAGCTCCATGGAAACATCATCCTTGTATTTATTCACAAAATCCTTACTCCTTCGGCGAATTTCTTCCTCTTCGTAATGATTATACTTTCAGAGAAAGTTAAAAGTTTCGTCAATTTCATATGTAGCTTCATATCGTCTACTGATATTACCTATAATGCAGTCCAATAATATATAAAAAACGTTTTGTTTAAAATTATTTTCAGTATTTGATAGAGAAATTTCATCAGGTGTCTCATCAGCAAATCGCTTCCTAATTTTTCGTCTAGGTTCTGGAAGTTCTTCAGAAATGTTTAAGGTGTTTGCAACTAATTTACTCTCCACCATAATAGAATCCCATTTATCTCGAAGAGTTTTTAATTCATCAATTAGTTGTTTGATGTTGGTCACTTCTACATCCAATGTAGCATTCCGTGCTTGCAAAACAAGATTGGTGTAATTGATAGCAGTAAGTACTTTGAAACATATAGCGGACATCAGAATGCATTCAAACGATTCTATATATGAAATAATCCCATTTAGATCAGCACGATTTTCTATAGACAAATTTAGGTTCTTTATATCAGCTACTGATTTGATTATACCAGGAAGGTGGGTTGCGAATGGCTTAATGCAGTCCACTCTAGCTGACCAGCGCGTTTGGGACATGCTATGAAGAGACGAACCAATATATTTTTTTTAAATTTCCCATCTTTGAGGACTGCTACTAAATATGTTATACAGTTTTTGCACTATCCCAAAGAAAGTTATCACTTGAGGACAACATTCAGTAGCTTGTGCACCGCATAAATTCAGACTATAACAAACACAGGAAGAGTAAGTAGCAAGTGGATAATGTTGAAGAATTCGAGCTTGTGCTCCCTTGACTGAACCTTTCATATTACTCCCATTGTTGTATCCTTGTCCACGACAGCACATCAGTGGTATTTTATGTTTCTGAAGAGTAGAAGTAATTATATTTGCAATATCTTCACCAGTTTTTTTATTGCAATCTACAAATTCCAGAAATCTCTCTTTTACCTCATATTTTCCTGTCAATTTGTCCTGTAAGACGTATCTTAAAATAAAAACATTTTGCTCAATATGAGCTGTATCAGGCGTTGCATCCACAATCATTGAAAAATATTTGCATTTCTCCCTCTCATCTAATATCACATCTGTGACTTTATCTGCACAGCACTGAATAAACTCATTCTGAATATCATTTGACAAATAATGTGCTTGCATTCGCTTATGGCTTTGTTGAGAAGCTTTTACTTTTTCGAGATGATCATGTAGAATGGAATCGTAATGACCAATGAGTTCCATAATTCCCAAAAAACTCCCATTTTTGGGGTCACCAATTAGATGACTATCGCCTCTAAATGCAAGACCTCTTTCACCCAAAAACAAGATAACATCTAATACTCTACGAAGTATTTGCCTCCATCTTTCCACTTCTGTCTTAATATTATCATTTAGTAGAAAATTGATAGTTGTATTATCTCTGAGATTTTCTTCTAATCGTCTCCATTCTACATAACACATCTTATGCCCACTGCTGGATTGATGATGAGGAAATTTTTCATAAAGTTTCTTCCATTTATTTTCCTTGGGCTTGGAATATCCTGTAGGCAGAGATAATGCCGATCGATAGATTTCTGGCATTTTAGAGAAAAGTCGGCAGGGAAAACAGTAAAGTGCATTCTTCGTCTTACTCCACGTTAGCCAATCTCGTGGAATTTTTTCGCCATTTGGCATGGCAATGTGAAGTAACGTGCGCGGAAATGATTTAGGCAATGCATCTTTTGGAAATTTTGTTGGGTGAGCAATGGGTCCATGATGAACAAATTTTTCTATTTGTTCAGCAGTGCAAAATAATTCCTTAATTAAACCAATATCATAGTTATTTGATGGAATTAGTCGGACATCATCTGCCTTGACTTGTAATTCTTCTAGCCTTGCAGTTGATGTCTTTGAAAGAATATTTTTATTTTCGTCTATTACATTCTCTTTCGCATCAGCACTAATAAATTTCCTATTTAACAATTCATCTTCCTCAATTGGCACTGGCTCTACTTCAACATTTGAGAGTTGTGACTTCATCTTGCACATCTGATCCTCAGAAACACCATCAATACGATTACAATTTATAAATCCAAAAGACACAATTGTACTTTGACCTTTCTTGGCTGATTCTCTTGCATGGTAGTTGAAAAGAGTTTCCCATAAACTGTAGTTTTAAAGAGCGCGTTAATAAACCAGACCAGAATTTTTTTTTTTTCAAATGATAGACTGCCTGCCCAAACCAAACCCTCAGTCGATGTAGCAGCACTCCCTTGCGAGTCAGGCTATATGTCAGTCGTTGTAGTAGCACACCCTTGCGAGTCAGGCTATTTGTCAGTCGATGTAGCAGCACTCTGTTGCGAGTCAGGCTATTTGTCAGTGGATGTAGCAGGACTCCGTTGCGAGTCAGGCTATTTTTCAGTCGATGTTGCAGCACTCCGTTGCGAGTCAGGCTATAAGATAATCGATGTAGCAACATTTACGCATGTTTTAAAAATGTTTTTTACTAAAATAAAAACAAAAACATCACTAATAAAAAAAAACTTTCTAGTCGTTATAATAGCGGTCTTTCAAAAAATTTTTAAAAAACAATAAAATTTAATGTAATTCTGCATTAATTTAATTGCTTTGACATTTCGACGACAATCAAATACAGCTTAAAAGACGAGGTAATTAAAATTGTAGTCGTAAGAGACATTTTCTACATTAAAACGCTCTTTCGGCTACACTATATGGATATATATATATATATATAAATATATATATATATATATATTTATATATATATATATATATATATATATATATATATATATATATATATATATATATATATATATATATATATATATATATATATATATATATATATATATATATATATATATATATATATATATATATATATATATTTAAAACGGGCCCGAGGAAAATACCCCTCCTTGCCCTCCCTCTCGTCGGGCCTGAGTCAATGGATAAGAGTGGATCTGTAAAAACTATTTAAAAGCTGTAAATCCCCAAAATAAATTTAATTTAACAAATTTTCGGACTTCATTTTTTCATATTTATGTAAAAGAAACCATTATATAGATGACAACTAAAAGTTTTTGTTGTTATTCAACGGACACAATTATATTATATTATATGCTGATGATGTTGGAGCCTATAAAACAGAAAAAATATCAAATATATTATTAAACATTGAGAGAACTCGTATTGTCTAATACTTTAAAGTAGTTTTTATATATATCTAGCATAAAAAACTTATTAAACTAAAACTTAACTTATAGTTTTGATTTCGTACAGGTTCGATCACATTCTATTAATTAATGACTATTATCTTTAAAATTCAATAACACCAAAACGGTGGAATCAAATATTTTTAATCGCGCTGAAGCAATTAATTTAATATCTAGTGCTTTAAATCAAACAGTAATATATTTTTTATTAAAAAGATGTTTTGTAAATATATAAATGTTTTACTATATTTTAAAACTCAAAAATAAATTTTTATCTTTTTGAGAATTTTTAATGTTTGGCATTTTTAAACGATATGAGCAATACTAATTAATTTTTAAAATTTTTTTATTAACTGTTACAGCAGATAAAAAATGTTTATAGAATCTATTATTAAATTGCTTCTTAACTTTTTAATACTTATAAATTTCTTATTTTTGACATCGTTAGCTTTTTTTTATGTGTTAAAAACATTTAAAGCATACATTTTTTTCAAAACTCCTATGTAATCTTCCAACTTCTGTTCACCGGCAATACTATAAACTTTGTTAAGGTTGGTTAAGGTTAATAAAAATGATTTTTTTATTAATGTTTCATTTATACAATTTTTTAAGAGTGTTTTTATTTTGTGCTATTGCAGTAGCATCAATATCAATATGATTTTTTCAATACTAATAGCTTTTTAATATCCTATTATTATATATCCCAGTGGTAAAAAAGACGTTGAAAAGACGTCTTTAAAAGTTTTATTTACGATGTCTTTAAGGCGTCTTTTTTTAGTCGATTATGCAAATCTAAAAGACATCTTTTTTTTACATCGAAAAGACGTCTTTTTTTGCCTTTATCTTATCATGAAAAGCCATGAAAATGCGTCTTTAAGACGGCTTTTTTTAGTCGATTATTCAAATCTAAAAGACATCTTTTTCCGACATCGAAAAGACGTCTTTTTTTGTTTTTATCTTGTCATAAAAAGACATGAAAAATGCAACTTAAAGACGTCTTTTTTTAGTCGATTATGCAAATCTAAAAAACACCTTTTTTCGACATAGAAAAGACGTCTTTTTTGTCTTTAGCTTGTCATGATAAGGCATAAAAAATGCGTTAATCGTATTTGTTAATCATAATTAACAAATTATACACATCTGAAAAAGTTTTTCTTCTTGACGTCGAAAGGTGCCAAGAAAAAAACCTCTTTTAGAAGTCAATATAAAAGAGGAAGCATTTTCTTTATTTTTTATAGGTTTAAACATAGGAGAATTATTTATAAATAAAACATCATTATTGTTCAGCAGAATATATCAATTAAATTAAAAGTTAAATGAATTAAGTTAAATAAATTAAGAGTCATCAGCAGATTCATCTCCAAATTCCACATTATTTTCACCTTCCTCTTTTTCCTCTATTTCTTGAGCTTTCTCCTCTGTTTCTTGGCGTTGTTGCCTACGCAACCCCCCGATTTGATAAGGAGCGTTCTTCAGCTTTCTTTGAATAAAATTAACTTAATTGACTTAAAAAGTGACTGTTTTTCATGTTCACTCATTTTATTAAAATTAATTTTAATAAAATGAGTGAACATGAAAAACAGTCACTTGTTTTATTGTAATATGAAATAGCAAACGAAATTTTATCAGCTGAGTGAAACACATTAGACTTACCGACTATTTTTTCAAAAACGGCTGATCCTTTCAACCCCCTCTTATTTCCACTGCGGTCCTTTCTTTTTGTCCCCACTAAGTTAAATTGGGACAGAAGTCCAACGGTAAACAGTCTAAAAGTATAATAAATGAGTAAGCTAAAGAAATTTATTATTATCAAAATGAATGTACAACGATGTATTATATTATGTAGTACTTAAAGCAAACTAAGCATTTGCACCTCTCAGATTTGCTATGAAAGACAAGTTATCAAAACAGATGTTGATATTTTTCTTGTCTTCTATGACGTAACTTTTTAATTTAATTTTGTTGAAATTAAGTGTTGTAGACCCATAACAATTTAAAAATCCGCTATTGAATAAGGACTATCAAAAACGAAAAGATATTTCAGCTAATACACCTTGAGAGTTGTTATTTATTTAAACTAGATAAACCTATTGTTCAAAGCTCAATTTTAGCCTATAATATAACGATGCTTTACCTAACAACATAAAATTATAAAAACAGGCGATATCATTATCAACACAGATGAATCACACATAAACAAAAATAAAGACTAGAAAGCTGCAATGTTGTTTAGCTAAAAGAAAGTGTATCTTTCTAGTATCATTTTTACTTGGTCTTTCGCATTCAAATCACGGTCTTGACGTAAAGATTTTCTCTGAAAGATAACACAATAACAAATACTATAGCAACAATGTTTAAAAACAGCTTTCTGTTTATAGTAAGATTCTCTCACCTTACTTATAAAATTTTATTTCTAAAATCACAAGATATTGGAAAATGCATAACTTTTCAATCTTGTTTGAATATCAAAAAACTAGACATAAAAAAAATATAACAAATACCATAATTGAACGTTTCTGTTCGTCTAACAACTCTCTTTCAAAGGCATTAAAATCTTCCATCGTTGCCATCATTTTTATTGCATGGTTATCCTTTTCTTTAGTAAGCCAACGACAATTTATAACGTTTTCTTTTATCTTTCACAAGAGACCAAGTGACAGCTTTTGGTACTCTGAAACGGAATAAGATAAAAATCTTGTGCAATTAAAAATTCTTGTAGAAGCCTTGATTTATTTTTATAAATTCTATAGTTCTCCTTTCTAGCATTTAAAATAAGAAACCTTTTCAACACATTTTACACTGGAATAGTTTTTGAAAGGATTTTCAATTCAAAGTTCAACTAAATAAGAATTCCATTGAATTTCTGTGAATAGAAAAAAAAGAGTCAAAAAATATATATCAAATCTAAAAAACTAGACCTCAAAACAACCTTACCAGCATCGCTTAGTGGAAACCGTATCTTCTCAAAGGGATCTAAAAATGATTATATGCAGATATAAATTATCACTGAAAAGGATCAAGTTATTTACATAAATATTATTAAACAATTTCTACTTATTTCAAGCTTTCTATGCAGCATGGTAATATACTTTAAATAAAAAAATATTAAGACATATAATTCGATTTGTCGCTAAAAATCATTATACCCAAAACATGCGTCCTTTAACGTAGTGCTTATTTGATTAATCTAAATCGTTCACATTGTTGAACTTAAACAAACATCTTATATAAAAGCACTACCCTTGTGTCCTACAGCTGCAAAATGGTTAGATGCGCTACACTAAAACTTGAGTCATTTAGCAGTTTTCTTCCAAGTTTTTTGTGTGTTAACAGGTGCCTCTTTTCAGACTTACATTGTCATGTTCAAACTTGACAATGTACACATTTTGATAACTCAAATAAATACTGCTTAAGTAGCAACAGTTATATATATACATATAATATATATACATATACAATTATATATATATATATATATATATATATATATATATATATATATATATATATATATATATATATATATATATATATATATATATATATATATATATATATACTTATACATTTACATATATATACATATACAGGCCTCGGCGAGAAGCGAGAGCTTTAACTCTCGCTCTCGCCCTTCACTCCCCTAAAACGGTTTACGGGAGCAATTTACGGCTCTCGCAAAAGTATAATTATTCTTACGTAAGTATAATTATTGTTGTAACTAAAATAAAAAATACAATGTCGAAAAATACAATGTATACAAAATATATTTATATATATTTAAAAAAATGTGAAAAAGTTTAC